GAGTGGCGCGACTGTGCGCTGGTCATGTTTTTCCGAATAAATAACTTAGAGCTAAAATGTTCGTTTGTCCAGTGCCGAAAAAATCACAAGTCATGATGAAATGGCGCCGCCGAGCTTCACATCTCGGTAGAGTTACTTTGTGGAATAACGGCCACCGAGCTACACAACTCGGTAGATTTACTTCGTGGCACTACAGCCGCCTAGCTACAGAACTCAGTAGATTTACTTTGTGGCACAACGAACACCGAGCTAAACAACGATGTTTGATGCATGCACCAGGAATTGCAAGCCTTTTTCCAAAGAAAAATATGAAGGCTTAATCCAAAGTAAAATTTTACTCAGGGTGTGAACTTTCAGCAAACTTTTGAAAGATGAACGCCAAGGACACACGAATCACCACGCAAGTTAGAGCGTCAAAGTGAGGCAAAACGTAAGCAAGCGGCTCAAAACGAGGCAAATGTGTGTCGGCACAAAATGCAATCTCAAAAAAAGGCTCTCTTATTAATTGCACAGGTACCCCAATAATGCACAGAACACCTAACAGAAATTAGGGGTTGCGTTCTCGTACCTCGAACGCAATTATAGGCAACGGCTTAATACTATTACCTGAAAATATTTATATCCTTTCCAAACAGATATCTTAGAAGCAACTTAATTCAAGACTTGCCTGACGGAATATTCGCCAACCTATTTGCTTTAACATTAATGTAAGGTGAATCATTTTTTTATGTGTAATGGTTAAGAGTGACTAAGGCTAGAGCAAACGCTTCATTCTTAATAGCAAGGATCTGATGGAATCAAAGTGACAGGAAGGGTTTAGCAGGTAGTATCATGGGATATTTCTACGAGTCAGCGTTTTGTTTTGGGCTAGCCCGTAGGGCGAAACAAAATACAAAAGACGAGATAAAATATCCCACGACAGTACTCACTAAACCGTCCTATAAGAGATTTATTATTCAACTCGAGGGGTATAAGATCAGCTCAGTAAAAGTGGGTCCTCTACATAACGAGAATGCGTTACACACTAACGGGACTCCTTTACAAGTCCAGTTTTCGCTTTGTGCAACGTTATTGCTCATTGGTTGGAAGTGAAAACTTGTCAAACAGGTTTACTTATGAAATAATTTTTTCGGGTTTTCGTCGAAGCTCCGAGGTCTTTCAATCATTTGCCGGGAAAACAAAGGTAGAATGACAGATAATAATGAGGCTTATGATAGTCTCTCGGTTTTTACGTACAACCGACTTTAAGTAGAAAAAAATGACTAAAGCAAATTGCGATAGAGAGAAGAAAAATGTTCCACAAATGCAAGGAGTTTCATGGAGCTACTCGTAAACAAAGGACTTTAAAATTTATCGTCGCCACTTTGCTTCTTACTTATGGCAATTCGGCCACGAGAGCTTTACTTTTGACCGTGGCTTAGTACATATACTACTTTGACAGTCATGTGACCGCGTTCTTCTGTCCGTTTAGCAGTTTGTATTACTTGGAAAGTCTTGGCATTAGGCCCAGTTCAAACGTTAAACTTTTCATGTACTGAACTGAATATTTATATATTAAGGTCGACCCAAATGATAACAGTTCGACGATTGATTCAATCGGACTCAATTCACTTCACGATGTACATGGTCTACAATTTACCAGTGAAAATATAGTGATTTATGCATTAGGTTTGAAACATGAAAGAAAAGTTCAACGTTTGAAACGAAGTCACTCCCTTGTCGAAATTCCCATGTGGGCCATTCGAACTTTAAATTCCTGGTCTTCCATGAACTTAATTAAAGGATTAGGTTCGTTAAATAAAAAGTTCGACGTTTCACTATAACTATAAGGAAGTCAGAGACCTTTCCCCCTATTTTTGTCCTTTCGGTTGTTTTTCCATTTTTATTTAGGTAAAATACTTTACGTTTTTTAAAATGTAAAAATACTGAACTGTATATCGTTTATAACACGTTGGAGAGAGTCTGTTGTAACCGGAAATGTTTCATTTCACAGCGATTTGTCGTCAAACAGAATCAAGAACATTACACGTGGCGTATTTTTCAACAATAAACTTCTTACCTTCATGTAAGTTTATTTTACTTTTGTCATTTGAAAAGGAATTAATTATTTATCTTACCCGGAGTAACTAATCCAAACATTTCGGTAATCGAACTATTGAACGATCGGTGCTATGGAGTTTAGTGATCGATCATGATAATAGAAGAGTGTCCGACTTCGCCTGGTTTCTGGGAACTATGTCTTCCTTGGATTCTCTTGAAAGTTATGGAATGATGCGAGTGGATTGCAGATATAGTTGAAGGTTTTCAAATAGAGGTTGTCTGTACAAAAATCAAGTAAAAGTCACGGTACTGTCAATATTTCAACTGACTTCATAGGGCAATTATCTGAGTGAGGATCGGAAAGTTTGGGGAGCATTCCAACTGAAACCTCGATAAAGCCCATCCCTTTGCAGTTTGACACCATATTCGTGTGCAGAAATTCTCGTTACTTATTAACCTTTGAAGACTGAGAAATGGAAATAACCTGACTGGTGTATTAAAAAAAGGAAGAAACACTTTTCTTCTGGTTTACATATCTTGTGAGTTATACTCAGTCCCAATTTTCACCCATGTTAATAAGCTTAACAAATGGTTGTAAACAAGATCGAATGGCGAAAGGACACCACTGTAGGTTATTGATGTTTGGAGTTTTATTTCTTACCTTTTTGCTCGACTTCTGGTAATACTTAGGCTACTGTTAAGCTTGATAGTCTTATAAATAGATTAGTTTTCAATGTAGTTCAATGAAACTTATGGCGTTTATGTTTGTTAGGTCAGGTACTAGGGGTGCCAAGAAAAATATTAGAATAATTCAGTGACCACAACATCGGTTCACTGACCACAAATCAGTTCAATAATCCAAGTTTCATTCCATAAACTAATCTGAACTGTACCATAGATTTATAGGTGCGATTTAAGGCAGTGGAAAGGGAAAGGGTGGTCCTTACTTAATTAACTCAGTGGCGATAAATAAAATATCGGTACAGTTCAGTTTTCATTGTAGTTCAATAAGGACACAGTAGTTCAATGACCACAACACAAGTTTTGTAAGCAACAAGCTTATTGTGTTTCCGTTTATTGGGTCAGGAACTATGAAAGAGGGGATGCCAATGCAAGGGAAAAAGGATTAAATAATTCAGTGACCACACAATACTTTAATGACCACAAATCAGTTCAATAATCAAAGTTTCATTCCATTAACTAATCTTGACTGCACCATAGAGTACTAAGTGCTATTTAAGGCAGTGGAAAGGGAAAGGGTGTGGGTTTTAAAGACAGTGGTGGACTGTGGACATATTAAAGTTGTGTTTCGTGCCATCTCCTCGAGTTTGATATTGTCTTTGAAGTCGCAAAACTTGATTTGTGAAGACATGTCAGACTGGGATGGATATAACTGGTTATAAACAAAGAAAATAATGCTTCGTTTACTAAGTAATCTTTAACAATTCTTTTATGATAATGATGTGGGAGGATAATATGCGAATTAAGTAGTTTTCAAACGAGAACAAGGTTGATAAAATTGTAATAAGTGTCATAATTTTTTTTATTTTTTTATAAAAGACGGCACAAGAAAAAAACAGACAAAAGAAAATCAGTTATTTCAATCTTCTATGTCTGAAACTGGTGGTCATAGAAAAAATATTGCTTGCAGCATGTTTACAATCTTACTTGGAGATAGTATCCTTACAAATCAAAACAGCTTGAGAGTGAAATTAATTTTCCTAGACAGAACGACTTGAAAACTAAAATTACGAGGACTTTTTTGGGACTTTTAACATTTAGGGCATGAATTTTTCGTCATTGTAGGCCATGGAGCCTAAAAATGTGCCCCCAGCTAGCCGTAGAGAGGGGCAATACGTCATAGCAGGCATAATCATTGGCTGATTAAGGAAAATTCCCTCATCAATGTCCGAAAATTCTGTATTTTAAAGCCTCCCCTCGGGCATGACTCAGCAACTGAGGACATTTCTGCTATGTTTTTAATTTTGGTTAGCATGCAAGGATTTTTCCCATGCCTATTGTCAATGATTTGCTCACTGGTAATAGAGGGACTGACGCCAGAGTTTTTTTGTTGTCTTTGCATTTAAATTGGCATGCAACGGAAATTTGCATGCCCTTAAGCATATTTTGAGGTTCCGTGACCTTCTCACCAGCGCCGAGAGAAGCCTAGGTTCTAATAAGGAATTCATACCCAGCATGTCCTGCGTGCCAAAATCTCCGGCCTGCCGGGCATGCCGGGCATGTCAAAGTCTGCGGCACGTCGGGCATGCCAAAATCAGTCTCTGGCATGCTCTAAACGCACAGGTTAGTTCCTTGAATATTACAGCTATTTTAAGCCTGGCCAAAAAAAAATAAACAGATCGCCGTGCTTATCTTTTGATGTACAGGTTATAGGTCATTTACACGATTACGTCATTGCTATTCCTTTCATTTTTATAAATTTGGTAATCCCAACGAAGTTTAAATAACAAAAGCTCTAATTTACATAAGAAAGCAAAACGTTGAAGGATTCTGGTTGTAGTAATAAAATAGCTTCGTCGTGCAGATGACCCCTTTGGGGATGGTAGATCTTTGAATGCAAGCGAAGTATTTTATTTTTTTGCATAAATAATGTCGTTTTGTTGTCTTTTTTTAATAAATCCAGCTTGTTCAAGAACTTCTGTCTTCAGTTTTTCCAGTCGATCCCGTGACATAATCGTTGATTAATGATTAATTTTGCGCCAAAAACGAAACGCAACGTATGTATCTGGGACATCCCCAGAAATCTCGAACGAAATTTCGACAAATTTTTCGTGCCAATTACATGAATATGTTTCGTTAATGGTTGAAGCTGCTGTCGCATCCGGTCTTGTACGGGCTCATTGTCACGATACACATACACGACAGTATTTACAGTAAAAAAAGGTGGCCACTGAACGAAAATATTGTCGATTGTTCTGAAATGTGTTCAAAATGGATGAAATTATCTCTCGAACGAGAGGTTTTGCATGAAGTTTTGACGATTTTTCGGGGAGATATTGCAAAGCGAACATCACTAAACTTTAGCCTTGGAGTCCATACTGAAATGTACGGTGTTTTCAAAGTTAAAAACCGAAAGAATTTTTAATCGGCAAGTATAAAATGTAACTGGAAGGAAAACATTGAGTGTTCCGACTGCATTTCCGATACCCCTAAAGGTAAGTAGTATTCAGGTTATAGCATTATAAAGTGAAAATTCTTGCGTTCTGCGTTAAGTAAGGTCGTAGAATATATACTCTTCAAATCTCGAACACCGAACCGAAATTAAGGGTTCTAATGACAATTGATCGAGGCTTACAAACAAAGACCGACTGTACGCAATCAAAAGTAGTTATCCCCAAAGCCGATAATTTGAAAACCTTTTCAGAGAACAGATTAACAAAAAATGTCCTATATGTCTTCTTCTTCTCACTTCGTAACTGCGCATGTCGGTTCAAAATTTCTGGCGATGACTCTCTTCCCTACCCTCTGTACGGGCGGACGTGTACGTTGACGTCATAACCAAATTTTCTGGCATCAGGTAGCCGTAAGATGGCCAAGCAGGGACTCTAGACGCTCAAGCCAGTCAGAGTTTCTAAAAATACGTGTAGATCTAAATACATCACTTCAACAAGTGCTTTGCTGTGCTTGCTACGACCTCGGATCTCGACCAGCAAAATGCTCAAGATCAAGTTGAAGGTTTTCAATATCTTTCCGGTGTTTGAAGTTGATGTCGTTTCGAATATATGCACCGGCACCACCGCCTTTTATTGATTCACGGTTCCGAAAAACTGTACTATAACCCGGCACAAACACGAAGTCCAGTAAGGAGGGATTGTCTTTCAGCCTCGTCTCGCTTAGTGTTATAACATTCAGTGGATATTCATTAATCGTAATAACGAATTCATCACACGTCGAGACCATGCTCTAGGTATTAAAGGTGCATAATCCGTAAACACTACATTTGACACTCTGTTGATTTAGCCTAACTGTTTTTTCACATTCCTCACATTTTGCGGACTTCCGTTTAGCAAGAGATCCGGTATTCACGGAGATGTCTCCGCCACGCAGAAGGGTCTGGCGGGATGTACTGGAGTTAGCGTAGTATAAGCAAGGACAATGAGTTCTTCTTGGCTTTTGGTGGATGAATCGACGGCTTCTGGGATAAATTAAAGAAAACACGTATAAGCCATTGTATTTCCGTACGTTGACGAACATTTGCATGTCGGTCCTGCATCAGTGAGCTCAGGGAACAATAAGGCTTGATCAGACAATACAAAACATGGTTGCAAAAGTGTGTCATTAGCATTGCAAATTCTTTGCGTTGGTTTGGTCAAGTTCAAGTACTATGCGAGAAACAGACTTCCAAGGCTGTTTCTAGATAGATGGATAGATAGATAGATAGATAGATAGATAGATAGATAGATAGATAGATAGATAGATAGATAGATAGATAGATAGGTAGGTAGGTAGGTAGGTAGGTAGGTAGGTAGGTAGGTAGGTAGGTAGGTAGGTAGGTAGGTAGGTAGGTAGGTAGGTAGGTAGGTAGGTAGGTAGGTAGGTAGGTAGGTAGATAGATAACAATTTTATTTTAGCACGATAAGAAGATCAACATTGCTGGTGGGCATATAACAGTTACAAGAAAAATAAGAAGTACTGAAAACAAATGTACAATTAAAAATTAAAAACTGTTAAAAATATTTGTAACCGACATCTCTGTTTTCAGTTGTAGCTAAAATAGGTTGTGCAAATGTACAATTAAAAATAAAAACTGTTAAAAGTATTGGTAACCGATATCTCTGTTTTTAGTTGTAGCTAAAATAGGTTCGAAATTCATTTTATCACTATAAAATTTTGCAAGACAGCGTTTAAATTATTTCAAGGTTTTAGCCCTGGTTTCCTTGTTCGTGAAACTGTCCCATGCGATTGATCCTGTATAGCGTATAGATTTTCTTAGAAAATTCATTTCTGGTCTTGGAAGAATGCATGATGTTTTCATTTCTTCTGCAGCCTAAATTCCTCTTTAAAAAACTCTTTAAATAACCTTTTATACATTTGAAGAAAAACTCCGCTAATCGCAATTTGTACATTGTTTCCAGACTGTCCCATCCAGTTCGCGTTAAGACTCCATCCGCGCTGGTGCCCCATGGCAACTCATATATAATTCGTCCAGCCCTTGCATGGAGTTTCTCCAGGTTGTTTATGTGCGTCTTGTTGCACGATCCCACACTGTCAGACCGTATGTAACTGATGGCATTGTCACTTTCGTGTAAAAGTCTTCTAATTGCTTCCGACGGAGGCATCGCATGCGTTGGAGTAAACTTAACTTGGATGCGAATGACGTCGCTACATTTGCAGCATGATCTGACCAGGATAACTTGTTATCAGACTTGTTATCGACTTATACTCCAAGGAGTCTTTCTGAGGTTGTCCACTTGATGATGTTGTTGCCAAAACGAAGAGCTTGGATAAGGCCAGTAAATGTTGGTTGCCGCTGGATTATCATTGCCTTACATTTTTCTGGGTGTGGTACCATCAGATTTCTGTCGCACCATTCCTGGAGTTCTACTAGGACATTTTTTAGTGTGTTTGTTAGCAAATCCATCGTTTCTGCGATACAGTACATTTTTGTGTCGTCTGCATACAGATAAGTTTCCGCAGAGCGTAGTTAGTGATTTTGAGAGGTCGTTTGTAAAGAGCGAGAAAACGTGGGTCTGAGGACCGACCCTTGCAGCACTCCGTGAGTTACAATGTGTGTATCGGAGTCGCATCCGTTGATTCTCACGAATTGTCTTATTTCTGTGAGGTAGTTCTTTAACCACAGCCGGATATCTCTCCTGATTCCAAGTTCGTTCAGCTTTTGTAGTAATATATTGTGCGACACCGTGTCGAAAGCTTTAGTGAGATTGACAAACAGTATTCCCACGAAAGCTTCCTTTCTATTGCTTCTGTCCACCTCTCTGTTAGGTGTTTTAAAAGCTGTTCTGTTGACTTTCCCTTCGGTAAGCCCATTGCCTGTCTTCAAGTAAATTTTGCGTAACCGCGTGATTAATAGAGGATCTTAGCATCAACAACGAGTACGAGTACGAGAACGACTTCAAGCCGTACTCGTACTCGAAGTCGTTTTCTCAGCTTTCTATGTTAGCGATGACACCGAGTTCGAGTTTATAGAAAATAACATTATGGGATTCCGCATGACTGGGCGCCAAATTTGAGTCGAGGTAGCGCTTCCACAGCAATTTCGAAAACAAAAAATGACTCTAAAAAACGTTCAAGACTGCTTGTTACTCATTTACATGGAAGGTTTTTTGTACGAAAAAGAATTTTGTGCTTTGCGGTCTTAAAACACGCTAAAACCCATCAAATTCAACACAACAACCACACTGGATAGAGAAGGAAGTATTCTTTATTGACATCTTCGACTGTTGGGATATTTTCGACCAAAAAATGGCAATTTTCGGGGTTATTTCGTGAGCCTGTGAGGCCTGTGGAGAGACATGAAACTTTCCCGGGTAAATGCAAATTTACTCTGTGTAGGAAATATCGCGTTCGGTTGCTTTTCCTCGACTTCAAAAGCAGTATTTTACATAAAACATAGTATAAGGAATGTTCAAGATGATAAAGAGAGGCTAGAAACGAAAAGAAACTGCGTTAAACGGTCGGAATTTACCTTTGAAAACCAGCTCTTCCCAGTCGTTCTACCCACTTCGAGTTTTTGGTGAGAACTCGTCGTAGTGCAACTTGACAGGACGACTTGAAAACGTGGAGATGCGCAGAACGGATGCGCAGTACGCAAAATCGCTGATCTCGTTCTAGAACTCGTCCTCGTTGTCGATGCTAACATCCTGTAATGATATTACTTGCGACGCAGGATTCCATTAATTTACTGTCTTGCTATGCTGAGCATAGATAGTGGTCCGTAACATGTTCTGTCTTCCTCTCGTCCTTTTTTGAACGCCGCACTGACTCTAGCTATTTTCCACTGGTCTGATGACTTGCAGGCTTTAACACTGTGTTCAAACACGCTCGTGAGAGATGGGGCAATAGACACACCTTCATACTTTAAAAGACGCGCGGATACGCCGTCTAGCCCCGTAGCTTTCTTCACTAGAACCATTCGTATTCACAGCAAGAGCATCACTTCTAAAGGCAAGACTGAACCTTACATAACCCCTGAATTCAATTTCCGTTCCAGTTATAAGTTGACTTAGGAAGAATAGTGGCAGAAAGATGGAGCACATGTCCTCCGCGATAACCGTATGATAATTAATGTTAGGTTTTTTTTGGAGGGCCACGCTTATATTATCTGTGGATATCAAGTGAAACCCTCATTTAAAAAAGTATCTATCAATATATCTATCTATCCATCCATCATCCCATCCATCTATCCATCCATCCATCCATCCATCCATCCATCCATCTATCTATCTATCTATCTGTCTATCTATCTATCTATCTATCTATCTACCTACCTACCTACCTACCTACCTACCTACCTACCTACCTATCTATCTATCTATCTATCTATCTATCTATCTATCTATCTATCTATCTATCTATCTATCTATCTACCTATCTATCTATCTATCTATCTATCTATCTATCTATCTATCTATCTATCTATCTATCTATCTATCTATCTATCTATCTATCTACCTATCTATCTACTTATCTATCTATCTAACGTCTAGTGAGCTAAAATACGTTCGTTCAAAATACGTTTGTGCTAACCGGAAACTGTTTTAAATGTCTTATTTATATTTACCCTATTTACCCTCGGCAGTATTTATAGCACTAATGCTAGTGGGGCTGAGCAAATGCCTGAAACAAATAATCTAAATCAAACTTAAGAGGTTTAAGAATCTGAAATGGCTGGAGGCAAACTAGCTGGCTATTTACAAGTGTGGCCCAGGATTTGAACCCGGAACGACCAAGAACAAATCCAGCTAGCGGTCAGAGCGAGTTTTGAACTCGGGGCCTCCGAATTGCAAGTCCAGCGCTCTAACACTCCTCTAACCACTCGTCCACTCTGTGGCTTCGACAGAGCGCCCTCGTAGATAAACTATTAATTACCATCATGATATTGCATTCTTCTTTGCTGAATTATAGATTGCTCAATAACAATCACCTTCAGTCAATCAGTGATGAAGCTTTCGAAGCCCAGAGACAGCTTGGCATATTGTAAGTATAGTCCACTTTTCGGAAAAGATGTTATGATGACCGACCCAAGGCAGAGTAAACAAAGTAGTTGCCTCGTATTGTTACAACTTTTATAGAGAAGGAAAATCCATTATGAATAATCAAGGCATAATAACCTCAGATCCGCATGTAGTTACTTCCCGGAGCAGAAAATAGATAAAAAACGAAATCGATAAAAATCGTTAGCGATCAAGTGATTTTATCGATTGATAACGGAAAACGGTGAAAAGCTATCGAGAGAAATCTTTTAGTCTGAATTTCGGACATATCTTGACTCTAGAGGATGTCTGAAATTCAGACTGGGCAATCTTTTATTTTTTATGATACCGTTGCGAGATTTCGTACCGGAGTTAAATTCTCGCCCCGGTACAACAACCGGGGTGAGCTCACGCCGGAGTGGCTCGCGCCTATATATGGCGTTAAATCTCCGCCAAAAATCAAGTTTTACTTTCAACATGCTTTGATCGTTGTCAGAAACGTAAATGTTAAAACGAAGGCTTCAATGTTCAAACGAAGACTGGATTGTTGAAGCCATTAGTTGAGTGTTCAAGAGGCAACTTCAATCTTGAATCTTGTTTAGCGTCTTTGAACTTGTATGATGTTGAATGCAAAGAAACTATTTTGTTCCTAAAAGTTCATATCTAAATCGTAAACATAACGGTTAAAATGAAAACTTGGATTTTGAAAGTAAAACTTGATTTTTCAGGGGCACCCGACGTCAATTTTCGGAAAATATCTATTCGGAAGACGATTTGAGAACTAGAATTTTCGGAACATTTGTTGTAAAATGTCTTGCTTGTCTGCCTCTCCTATGATTTTCGAACATCTAAAAAATGGTATAATTGCTCATTTTTAACGGATTTTTACCCTAAAAAGGTCAACTAGAATTTTGGGAGCCTTTTTTCTGGCTGAAATTTTCGAAAAGGTCAGTTTCCATTCCTACAACTTTCGGATCACTGGACTCTTCAGCTAGTAAATCCGAACAGATGAAAAATTTTTAGGGGATAAAAATATGCCTATATCTACCGTTTATATACTAAAATAGGTTTAACAATGCTATGTTTAAGTGGTTTTGAATTATATTCTCGTTGGGTGCCCCTGATTTTTGGCGGAGATTTAACGCCATACCGCGCCGGCATGGCATTTTGTAAACAAATATAGAGTCATGAGAGGGAACCGGAGTGAACTCGCGCCGGCGAGAATGTCGCCCCGATGTCATGTAAACACCCCCTTAGTTTAAGCTAGTACTTCGTTTAACAGGCAAAATGAAGAAAAGAAAGTCTGCTTTTAGTTTTGTAGCTGAATTGTGTTATCACAAATTTTCAGAAAGGTTTCTTTTCAACTTCAGACGTATATGACAAGTGGCTTTTAGTGAAAATAAGGAATGCGTTCGTATAGCCACAGCAAGCAATCAATCATGCAAACATCTATTTCTGAAATACCCTTACAGAAAGGATTAAGAAGATACATGTCTGCGAACATATTCGAGGGAGCGGGAAATGGATATTCCCTTTGTACCGGACTATTAGGACTTAGCGGAAGATCCCTTCTTCTAATTTATGTACAAGATCTTACGAGCTAGTCCAAGAGAAAATAATTGGACCTGTCCAGTTACTTTCTCTTAATCCGCTCAAGTGGCTCACAAACTCGGGGAAGGTTTCTCGTCTTACAATGTATTTCAAGGACTGATTGGTCACTTGATTACTGGCGTTTCGACTGGCAGCTTCTTATATACTAACACTGACGCAATTCAAACCTTTAGAGTGCTTTCAGATAATCCTATCAAGACTATTGGGCATCGGGCTTTCAGTATCCCAGATAAACCAAATGAGAAGGTCTTAATGTAAGTATAAACCGATTTGTATTATTTATGAATGGTTCATAACTTTCGCCAAGTAGTAGTATTTAGTAATAGTAGTAGCAGCAAAGCTTTATTTGAAATCGGATTGAAGAGTAGCACATGAGCACAAGCTAGCTCACAAAGTTCAGACAAACGAACATTGTTTGTAAAGTGATCTATACTAGCGGTAGCTCTAAGATTATGACGATGATGTGATCTGCCGAAATACAAATTTTGAATGAAGATATGATCGTCGCATTAATGTTTATTGCAATTTTGCAAATAAACCCGCAAACATTTTCGGGACTTCAACAGGATGCGAACTCATTGCCTCTACGTTAGCGCTGCAGTGCTCCATCATTGAGCTATGAAGACCCAGCAGACCAATTTGTTGAGTTTATTTTAACCCGTGAAAGGAATGAGACATGAAGATGATGTGAGCCGCGGAAAAACAAATTTTGAATAAAGATATGATCGTCGCGATGAAGATAAGATCATCATCTAAAGTCTAAACTATTTTATAGTTTGGGTTCTAAAAATTTGAAAGAGGGTGTTCCATAAAAGCTGGTATTGACACGTGGCAACTGTAAATTGTTTTTACCTCTAAGCTGATTGCTAGTTCTAGGTACGAGTGGTGCTGATATGTAGGTAGGTGTGACAGCTTGAAAGAACTTGTAATGAAAAGAAGAAGCACCAATAAGTGATAATTATGGGATCAAATAGTAGTGGTAATAGATGATACCAAAGATAATAAAAACTTTTCAGTAAACTTTTCGTTCTTTGCAGCTTCATGATTCGCACTCACTTAAAAGAAGTGAGCCTCCGAGTCTTGTCTTTTCACGATTTTCATAACCTAACTTCCGTCATGTAAGTATGATTGGTATATTATCAGAACTGTTGTAGAAATTGGCCAAATACATAACAGAGGAAGTTCTGCATCTTCCTTCGCAATAGCCCCACAAAATATATAAGTATGAGGATGTATATTATAAACATATACAGTCGCTGTCATCTTATAAGGAATCACACTCGTTCACTGCGCTCACTCGTTCAATTTAGGATACGTTAACAGCTTACAATTGTGCAAAACCGCACGAGTACACTTTTCATGAAGTATTCCATATAAAACTCAATTATTGTTGTCCCCACTTATCAGTTGCTTCGCTCGTAGGGAATCGGGCTTTGATATCAATAAGAAAGACTTAACTATGCAATTTTCGTTTTCTTTTGTAGAACCATGAATGATGGTAAAATTGGTGCCATGAAAGTTTTGGATTCATTTCAACAGCAGCGCTGCACTATTTATCTGTTCGTAACTTTCTTAATACCGTGATAAAATATTCTAATATGCCGTTGCATTGTCTTTGACCTTCATATACTGAGTTACTATAGCTTCATGCATCACCCCGATGTAGTCTATACTGAAGACGCGAACTTAAAATTTTGCTTAACCCATTTTCTCAATTCGCACTGAGATATAGGTAAATCTGTATTTCTGTCTCTTTTCTACCTCATTTTCATACACTTATCATTCTCTGATCAAGCGATTATAAATATCACGGCTGTCTAGATATTGAAAGAGCGTTGCAATAGAAGTCGAACCTCTCGTAAGCAACCACCCAAAAAACCAAACTGTAGTGGTCGCTAACGAGAATCGAATCAAAAGTGGTGTCTTCCGAAAAGATCTACTTTTTGGAAGGGAATTTTTTGCAGGCAACTTCTAAGGTACGATGAGTTGTCTCCCATTTGATTAGAGTTCTTGTTATTCAGATCACGTGTATGATTTTAGACCAAATTGCACTTCACTCAGTTCCATTCTTAGTATTTTAAACATCTTCGGGAAACGAAAATCACAAAAAGAGTAATAGCTTTAAAAAAGCTCATGAAGGGATTTCGAAACGATGGCTTGCTTACTGAATGTACGATGCTATAGAAATCTTAAAGAAAGTGAATGTCTGGCACTCTTTGGAAAATACACGTCGTAACACCTGATGCCAATGTGCGGCCGTATTGACCCACAGAGATCCATGCAACGTTTCACAGAGTGAGAGATTTTCGCTTACGAGAGCAGGTCGCACATTATTTTATTAGTTATCTTTGAGCATTTGAGCCCAATATATTATACAGAATAGCTTCATTTAAAAGCTCGTTAACTCATTTGCTTCCCTCTTTAGCAATTGTGCAGATTTTGATGACTGCTATTTCCTTGAATATTACGTAGATATTACTTGCAGAAACCTGAAAATTCCACAGATTGCCGGCTAAGTTTAGCAACCTCGGCTTTAAACTTGTGAATTCAATCTAGATATATCTTCTTTTTTTATTTCATATAATTATAAGAATATGTCTAGCCAATTTTTTGAAAACCAACCAAACGAAATTTGCAGTCATTTGGGAGAAAAAGCGTCCAAAGTCACGTTTTTTAAGCCCGAGAAGCTCCAAAATCATAGTGACGAAGGAGAAGGAAAGGAGAAAAAGAAAGAGCGAGGAGAAGGAAAGGAGAAGAAGAAAAAAAAAGTAATGGATGCACTCTTAGATTTTATAATAGCTACTTTGGAGAGTTTTTGGCCGAAAAAATTGTTCGACACAAAAGGTCCATTTGGCGATAACGCTATCAAAACTCCGACCGGCTAGATGTACTAATTAACTAATTAAAAGTGCAGTTACTAAAAACCATCAAATAATACAAAACACGTTCGATAAATAAGATGTACCAATCTTTTGAACGACCTTAATGTCAATTTCTTACGTTTTATAAAAGTTTTTTACTGAAACATTTATATCTTTCAATTTAGCGGCTTGGGCCAAGATAACTCTACTTCCCTTGACCTTGGGAAATATTCGGGCACCAACACAGTAGTACGCGATTCATTTAGGCGAGCTGGTTTTGCGGATGCAACTCTTGGTTACTACAATTTACGACCATGTCCACTTGGTACTTTTGTAAATGCAAGTCGTCTTAAATGCGTCGAATGTCCTGAAGGTAAAATATATAATTATTGTGTTACATTATTATTATTGGAGCTTTTTCTTGTCTTATGGGTGATGATTTTAATCATCATCATAAATTCAGCTCATAAATTCAGCTCAATTCATTAATTCACAACTTGAATTCTACCACTGCTGTTTGTGATTTAAAAATCACAAACAGCAGTGGTAGAATTCGAGTGCGAATTAAGCGCTAATAATTTTAAAATTGATGAGACACTTGCTGTAAGATTTTTCACCATTTTCAAAAACGTCCCCGAGTTACATTATTTTATTCTATTTATTTAATAGTTTTCTCTTTGTAAAAATCTGTTGTGATACATTGTGAGCTGAATTTATCAGTTAAAGGTTCTAACTGGTCTAATTGTCTTTGAATTGCCCGAGAAGAATGTCAACAAGATGGCTGTATAATATATTAATTGGCATTGTTCTTTCTTTCTGGTGTTTCACTGACTTCGACAATAGAGAGGTTAAGCATCACCTTTACGTCTAACGGAAAACGCCAATTTGTACCACCTGACCAAGTTTCCCGACAACAACATACCCTTCATTTAAACGCGATAGGATTTAAAGCTCAAAGCTTGTGGGATCGTGTAAAAGTAATTACAAATGAATATAGAACTATAATAAAAATAGGGATAACATACTTACAAAATACAACTACAACAAAAACTCTAAAAATATACAGTAAGATTCTAAAAAGATACAATGTTAAAATGAATTTACATTAGTTACCACTAAGTAAATTGACTACAGCATTTAATTTTAAGAAACTGCGAGTTAAAACGCTGGACGATTATGTTATTACTCCTCCTGAAATTGTACGCAGTGCAATATTCATTTGTCAAGTATGAAAGAGCCGCAGGTGCTAAACCGATAAACACGCTATGGAATAGTTTAATTAATTAATAATTTTATAATATAAGAATAAAGTATTCCAATTCAAATGTCGGTATACTTCATCAGTAGGTACATCGCGGGGCAAGTTGTATATTATTCTGGTTGCCCTACAGTCAAGTACTTCAGGGAATGTAGAAGGTCCGCATTAGGGCAGCCGCCCCAAACAACCAAGTCCATACAGAAATGATGGTAATATTATCTTGGAGTACAAGTCCAATAGTGCTTTTCAGCACAAAAACGAACTCCTTTTCGGGAGGTTCAGATTGTTAAAAAAAATACTTTTTACGTCTGTAAGGTAGTGTGACCAGGAAAGTCTGACATCGATAGTAACGCCCAAAAGAAGAGTGTGCTTCTCCCACTCCGATCCTCTCCAATAGTCACAGAATTTAGCGACCCTCTGTGCGGTTTTCTTATCAATAGCATAGCTTCGCCCTTTGCCTAGTGAGGGGTTAAAGAGTTCTCTAAGCACCAACTATTCAGTTCCGATAAAGCTTTATTTAAAGAAGTGACAGTGTTATCAACAGTGTCCCCTATGCAATAAACGGTGGTATCATCCGCTTACATAAAGACAGAGCCAGAGGTAACAGTACTTGGTAGGTCATTGGTGTACAGGGTGAACAACGTTGGGCCCAGTACTTCCCCTTTACTCATCGTTTACTTTTCATTATTTCAACACATAAATAAGTAGTTTCACGCAATTTTTTATCCATAAGAATTGTTTTGAGCTGTTTTTATCTGCTCATTTTCTATTTTGAGAAATTCTCAACTTGAATCTGACGTTTGCCGTATACGTGATGCTCAAACTCTCTTCTCTCTCGATTCATAAAAGCGCAAAAACTGGTACTAACTTTGCCAGTATCCAGCCAGCCACAGTTATTGGACTCTTAATACGACTAGATGCCAGCTTTTTTTCTTATGTCATGCAATAGCAAAATCCGTCCACGGAAACCAATCATATTACGGGAATTCTGCGTTATTTGTAGGTCATGAAATTAAAAAAGGAGCGTCGGACCAAAAACCAAGGATTTTGTAACCCGACAATTTTTATTTACCCCAAACTAACTACTTTTTATCGGCTCTGTAGATCCATTTTAGTCATATTTTGGGACTACAAAATTAAATTTATTTCAAGGACACTTTCACTCTGATACACTTTCTTATAGGAGGCTTCTATTCGGATACCATAGCGTTTGTCAATGACAGCTGCCTCAGATGTCCAAATGGAACTTTTGTACCATACAGTAAGGCGCCTGGCAAAAGCGCTCGTGAGTGCATTGCTTGTCCACAAGGTAGGCATATTTTATAGTCAAACCCAGTCAGACATAGACCAAACAGATTATATTGATGGTGGCAGGAGTATCAAATTCAAATCTGTATGCTTGCATGCTCTGGACAGTGAATTTCGCGCTGCAGATTCTCAGCATTCTATCAGGTCAAGAGAAATCGTCTTCGATAGCTTTTGAATAAAATTCTTTATCACACTCAAGAAGAAAAAAAGACAATTTTAACCATCTGCTGGTGATTTTACTGCTCATTGAATGCTAGTAAGAATGATAAGAATCACCACAAGACTTCAAAATGTCAATTATTATATGGCTACAAATTAAAAGTACGAGTGTTCTGATTGGCTGCTAAGCTGGCAAAAGTTTCTTGTAATGACCGGGCATTATTCGCTAGGTGTCCAAGGCATATACAATCTGTGTTTAACTTGACAGTGGACATCCATGTTATGGTCAATTGACAGCTGTGAAAAAGGGTATCTGTTGACCAGTGTCACATGTTTGTATCGCGGGCTCAGGTGTACAACTCATTGAAGTGACTTGTTTTTTTAAAGTTATGTACCGACCAGTTATTGGTTTTAATTGATCGCAGGCTCAATTACTTGCGGTGTTATACATTTAGAGCGCTAAACGGCCACTTATTAACCTCGTCCGAACGGTCATTACAGGGATTTCCCTGTAATGACCTCACTCTCGGTTAATAAGTTGTATATGAATTCATCATTAGAATCTATGGTGGTACGCTTGACCTGGTTTGATTGTAATTAGGAATTTAAGAAGAAGGAGAATTCAAACACCAGAAAGCTCAGAAAAATTTTCCGAGCTCCAGGTGAGAATCAAACTCACGACCTACAATAGTTAGAAGATGGAATGTAAAAAGTGACTGCGTTATCCCTGTTACCCTGATCGAAGTTTCTGATGACGTCAGTGAAGTTCAGATAAAACTGGTCAGAAAATAAAGGTAGAAAGAAACGATATTCTGCTTTGGCAATGACACTTATGCTTGGTTAAGGCAGACGAGCAAATTTTACCACTAAGCCTCGTTTGTAAGCAAACTTCTTCTCACTTCCAATGAATGAGCGTGGATATTCTTTTCAACTCTACTCTCATTGGAATTCATTTATGCAAAATTCTGTAACTTTCAAAATTTCAAAACGAGCCTTGGTGGTAAAATTTGACGTAAACATGCATAAGGACTATATATATCGGTTTTGAATTGAGAATTTATTTACACATATCCCTAGGACTTTGCCTCTACTTTGATTGTTTGCTCGGCATGGTAATGCCGTCAATTATCGTATGTCCTTGTAATTTAAACCGGTGAAACTTTCTAATGAAGTAGCTTTGTTGTATTTAAACCCATTTGACAATGAAGCCTACAACTGTCAAAACCCGCAAGCTTTCAAACTTTATTTATGTGTTTTTTAAAAAATGCAAAAAAGCCAATTATTTGCCTGATTGAAATACAATTAATTCAGCTAACGGACTTTTGCTTTTTGTAGGCACAGATACTTCCACATTTGCTGGGTTTAGAGCTTGTAGCTGTTTGAAAGGATTTCATCGTACCCATCTTTTTGAAGGCTGCACACAATGCGATGAAGAAGGATTACAATGTGTGGATGACCATGTTAAGCTGAAAAAGGGTTACTGGTGGAAATGGGAGAATCAGACCCACAAACAATTTTATGAATCATTTGCACGTAATCTCTTGGATTCAAGGAACTCTTCCTCAACTAATGCTTCCCTCATCGAGTTCCCATACACTGTTCCTACGCCGCACAAATGTCCACAACAAGAGGCTTGCTATGGTGGTTTCAATTCTTCTTGCGCTGACGGCTATCAAGGACCGCTGTGTGAAATTTGTAGTGATGGCTACTATAAACAGTTTCAAACGTGCAAAAAGTGCCCAACGAAGAAATGGATGATCGGACAACTGTCGATCGTGGTGGCAGTTATCCTTGTCATTATTTTAGTTATCCTATGGTCAAGTAAAAAGAAGCAAGAGAATGAGAAAAAAGGAAGATGCACAGTGGATATGATACTTGGAAGGCTGAAAATTGTCATTGGCTTTTACCAAGTCACTGATGGACTGTTACAGACATTTTCGTACGTCAAATGGCCAGATTCTCTTTCTGTCATTGGAAAATATTCGGAGATGATACAGCTTAATGTATTTCAGATTGCCCCTCTTCACTGCATCTTCCCTGAATTAAAGGTGAATGCTTTTAAGAGCTTGTTTGCAATCCTTGCAATGAATGCCACAGCCATCATTGTTGCGATTCTCGTTTATTGTTTACGAAAGCTTCTACTCGAACGGAGTGCTTCCTCCAAAGAAGAAAAGTTAAAGAAATCTTCTCAAACGAAAGAGCTGATCTTGAGAAACCTGTTTTTCTTCCTCTTCGTGACATATCTCAGTACCTGCTCCAAAACAGCTAGTGTGCTTCCCCCAACTTGCCGTCTGCTTTGTTCGGACAAAACGAAAACCCACTGCCAAAAGTTTCTTAAGACTGACTACAGTATCGACTGTGAGAGTACAAACTACAGTCGATCAGTCATCGTTGCCTACATTGCAGTCGCTTACATACTACTTCTTCCCACAGCATCACTTATAGCTCTCTGGAAAGTGCGATTGACCGTTACAAGTCAGAATAAAATGGAAGACGAGGACCAAAATCCTAATATCGAAGTGAAAAGCAGCGAAGTCACCACAGGCTTGCGATTCCTTTTCGAAAACTACCATCCGCGCTCGTGGTACTGGGAGCTGGTCGACACAGTACGGAAGGTGGTTCTCACGTCAGGTCTCATCCTGGTTGGTGGTGAAAGCAGGGCATATGTCGGACTGGCTTGCATCATGTCAGGACTCTATGGAATGTTTTTTGCCTATGTCAGCCCCATTGTGGACCCATTCGAGAACAGACTAATGCTGATATCTCTGGCTGTGACCTTTGTAAACTTGGGAATAGGAGCTGTGAGTAAGATAAACAGCGAGAACATTCCAGCCTCAATCGATCCATATGTGGATAACATCATGTTCAAGGTACTGGTGTTTGGAGCAAATTCTTTGGTAATCGGTCTTCTCGTAGGTAAGTTAAGTGTAAAACCACTTCGGTTATTAATTTACCCTTCAATAGTATAAAAATCAACCCTGGGTATAGTTATTAATGGCATTATAAGGGAATCAATCTTACCTGGGACAAGCCCAAGATAGACTGAATTGAATAAAAAATCTGGGACCCGACTTACTCGCTGGGGTGGGCGGGTGAGTCGCCAATCGCCCTTCGTGTCGGCAAAGTAAAGTGAACGGGACAAAATGTACCAGTATTTCCTATTATGTATATACTCATTTGCATATCGTTAATTAATCCTAGGGGTTGATATTTACAATTCAAATGGAACTTGAACAGGAGGCCAACCACGATCAACGACGAAAACATCAACGTCAAAAAAAAAATAGAAAAAAACAGAAACGTTGCCTACATTTGACAATTTGAGGGGGTCCAAATAGACGTCGTCTTTTCCGTCGTCGTTGCTTAAGCTCCCCAATCACAATTAGGGCGATGTCAGCTCCGTGCTTGCTTTTTGTTTTCGGCCAAAATTTAGTTCACGATGTAAATCGGTTAAGCTTCAAGTGCCATTCTAACTGTAATTGTATTACTGTAATGCCTCAATTTAGGTAGCACTTATGTTCAGGTTTGCAAGCAGCTGCAAAATTTGGGAGTTTTCGCGCCCTTGCAAAAATTGCACGGTTCACAATTGATCGCGTTTCTCACAGTGAGTGATCTTCACAAGTAGTTATAAGTATTAAAGTAAGTAAGTAAGTGTGTATCTAAGTACTGGTAAGTCAGTCCAGTGACGGATCCAGGGCAGGGGCCCGGGAGCCCGGCACCCCCCTTATTTTTCGACCAAAATGAGGCCCGAAGGGGGGATCGGGCCCTCCCCTTATCTCAGGGTCTGAATGACAGTCCCCCCACCCCCTTATCTCAGGGTCTGGATCCGCTACTGCAGTCAGTCAGTAAGTAAGTTATCTATAAGACTTGAACTTAAAGCCAAAATATTCACAGAGAAGAGTTAAGACAGCTGTACAAGAGAGGACTCCGCCTTATAAAACGTCAAGTCAACATGTACGTTTTAAGAAGGTGTTTTTGAAAGGGAGAGATGACTGCAGACAGTCCTAGGTATACGTAACTATGACTTTTGTTTCTTTGCAGTTCAGTATATTGTATACATCTATCGCTTTATAAAAGAATGGCTTCAACGCGTCAGAAACGCGCAAGTCTCTCTCGATCTCTCAGTCATCTCAGACTCGATCGAGGATCAAACGGACTTTTCATGTTTTCTGGTGCTACAGTTGTGATTAGGCCTCGTTCACATTGAGGTCGCTTTTGGAAATTAGACCGATCTGAGATCGGTTTAGCCCGTATTTTTTTTCTTTGAAATGGATCCTAGAGCCACCTTGAACGCGCTAATATGAAATAACACTCGCGGGGGATTTCATAATCTCATACTCAGATCTCTTACTTATTGATGAAGCCCAAGGTGAGATCTCGTCAAATCCGATTTTGTACCCGTGATTGCCTGTCAGGAATGAGACAGGCCATGAAAGAGCACATGCTTGAAATTAATCCTCGACAGGTTAAACAACGAATTTGATAGAGCCGTGAAGTTTTTTCTATCAAAACGTGGTTATGCGCACATCTTAAGTATGAACCAATTTTTGTGTTCTTTTTTATCTTTTTAACATCAAATTCAACGCGACAACTGGGGCCAGATCTCGCCTTTGGCTTCGTCAACAAGATATCTGGGTACGAAATTAGGGATTTCATTGACCTCTATGGCGCGGGGGGAGGGGGTGGTTTGCTCTCGCATGCTGTTCAGCAAGGATGCTTGCGTAGCGTAAGTCAATGAAGAACAAACAAGTTCAGCTCTACAGTTTTGACTGAACGAGGGCAAATCAGGCTATCTTTGACTACGTTTTGAGCCGTTTTGTCCATTAAGCCACTTTTTGAACTCGATTTAAATGGTTCAG